AAAATCTTTTTTTAAAAATAAAAAAAAATAAAAAAAAATAAAAAAGTTTTTGCACTCTGCAAACCTCCCCAAAATGGCCCGATTTTCACGAAAATGGGTCCGTTTTTTGTCAAAAAAGGGCATGAATAGCCTTTAGGAGTCTTATAGAGTGCTCCTGGGGGCTTGGGGGGGCAAAAATGAGCAAAAAATGGCCCATTTTTTTGCTCATTTCTGCCCTTCCCAGCCCCCAGATCTCTGAAAGCCTTCTAAAAGCTATGCATAGCCATTTTGGGGAAGGGGGCGGGGTTTCAGAAGGCAAAAAATGCTGTATTCAGTGTATAAGATGCACCCAGATATTCAACCTCTTTTTTGAGGGCAAAAGGTGTGTCTTATACTCTGAAAAATACGTTAGTTGCCTTACAAATACCCAGAATCTTATAGTACTTCAGAGCATAATACATTTATTGCAGCATGCAATTTTGAATAAATAATTCAGATGCACAAAAGTGACCTTAATTAAATGATCTTAATTAATTGTGATTTTATGATAATTTTATGATAATTCCTAGGGCAAAGAAAATATATGTGTTCAAGCAAATCATTTTACTTTTGAGCTCCATCCTGCTGCCACATTTATTTATATTTATATTTTATGAATTTGTAATCCCTTAATTCAGGGTAGAGTCAAGGCGCCTAGATGGAGCTGAGCATTTACTGGCCAGATGCCCTTCCTGACACCTACATGGAGTTTGCAGCAGATATTTTCTCTTTGCACCCTAAGAGAAACATCTGTTGCTACCTAGGATTGAGTTCTCAACCTTCTAAGTGGGAGGGGAGCATCTTTACCTGTAGGTCACCATGTTGTTCTACCACATTTCTATATATACGTATATTAAATTACTATACGCTTTTATTAGAACGGATAGAAATTAATTATAGCCTATTGAGTAAAGATGTTTTTCTTATTTTACAAACAACACTATCATATTATTAATCTCTACCATAAAAACAGGTATTTCCTTTAAATATTGCTGAATATTTAGTATGGTCTAGGAATACAAAATGCATAATTAGCTATTATGCTTAAAATGAACTCCTGTGAGATTTGCTTGTTAAATCCTTAGGATTCTCCATCAGTACCATAAGGCAAACACCCGAGATTAACAGTAAATTTGTAAAGCTATATTATTCAACTATATCATTGAATGGATGCTTTCCTAGAGATGGAATGTGAATATTACCTTCAGTGCTCATGTCTGGTGTTGGCATCCAGACATAAGCAAGGCCTTCTTCTTTGTACAACTTCATGAGAACTTCTGGGCTCATTGGTTCTGGATAGCGGTTGCATCCCCAGGAATTCTGAACCACATCCCATTCAGTCTGGAAGTTCATTATAGCGGTAATGCCCAACTCATGTTTAAGTTTGACAGTCACATGTTCCACTTGACGAGGGCAACTTCCTAACCACAGATTTGGCAATATCCTGTTAAAAGAGAAAAATATTGAACTAATGAATGTTAAAAGACTTTAGTGATTAATCTAAGTCAGTAACATGATTAATTGAGGGATAGTCATTTTCTACAATTCATGTTAAAATAAAAAGTTACCAAATATCACTAGGAACTTGAAATTCAACAAAGAAATGAAGGAAAGAAAGAATCATGTGTACAGGCTAGAACGAACCCCCTTAAGCCAAATTCAAGGTTTTCATGAAGGACAAAGAAAAATGTATTTTCTGATAACACTCCCTAGCACCCTAAGACGTCCACTTCATAGCTGGCCAGATAATTTTTCATACATTACAACAACTATTACTTCTTGGACACAAAATATAACATTGTACATTAAAAATCTGCTGTCAATTTTTTCACAGAGAAATCAAGCAATGGACCAATATTTAGCTGAATAATTTGTTATTGATACTTAGTTCAGTTATTTGGACTTCTAAATGAGACTGCCAGTGAATTAGTTTGGGTATTGTGAAACAGATTATCAATCACTTGTATTGCATTATCATTCACATTCTAGCAATTTACTCAAAAGACAATATACTTAATATCAACTTAAGAAGTCCTTAGAGAGTAATATATTTGTCAAATTACCTCATTCTTGTGAGGACTGTCACTATATATTATGAAAGCAAATTCTATCATTCTTTTCATAGATACAAGGCTTGTCACATTTAATTGTATTTTAATGATATTGGTTTAAGTCTTCCAGAAATGTGCTTCTTTATAATGGTTTTGTTTTCTCATAATAATAACTAATATACTAAACACTGGATGATGCAATTTTAACTAGAGAGCCATTTATATGATCTATGAGCCTTGCATTTTCTTATATTTCTTTCCAGAAATTCAGCCCCCTGAACAAAGTAATTCTCTCTTTCATCTACGTCTAAGATAGTGAGTGTTTGACTAGACAGAGAAATTGATTAACATCAGAAAATTAATTACTAAGAATGTATTTAAATGATTTTGTTTGGCCTGAAACACAACAAGGATTGTCAGCTTTCAAAGACTTAGAGACATGTTAGGAAGGGGATCAAGGTGAGAATAATTTATTTATTGTAAGAAGATGGAGAAACTTATAGAATTAGAGATAAGATTGTACATCACCATCCTGTGATTTCTGAATATTTTTTTAAAAAAAGAAATAGACCCAAGTATTAAACTAATATGAAATTAATGAAGTACAATCATTCCACCATAACCTATATGGATTGAATCAATCAAGACTATTAATATATTTTAAGAACACAAGTAAAAACTTATTTTAATTGTTACATTATGTATTTAATTAAGTACAATCAGTCTTTTGATAAACTTGAAAAAACATTGGGATGATGATTTGGGCACTGAAATATCTCTGGAAAGCTTTCTGGCAAAACAGAAGCATTTTAGAATCTATGTCAGCAATTGGCCTCCTGCTCCGTTGAGGCCGCGAGCAAGCAAAAGAAGTGGGGCTGCAGCCTTGTGGGCTCCTGATGCACATGGCTGTAAGTATGTGTAAGTACACAGCAGGTGTCAGGGTGTGGATGGGTTGGCCATGAGGTAAGCCAGTGCGGAGTACATGGGGTGGCTCTACCACCACCCTGCCACGCCTCATGGCTGCAGCACTGCGAGCAACTAGATAGAATGGCTGGATGGGTGGCTGTGCGGGGTTTTAAGTAGGACTTATTTTGGGGGTAGGGCTTATTTTTGGGGAAACAGGGTATATGAATTGGAACTCTTTTTGATAATTTTTGCCAGAGATATAAATAAATTAGGACACATTTTATCTTTGGCTGGCAATGCTTTTTGTCAATCACCAAGAAACTCTTACAGGGAATTTTCAGGATGATTCACTATACGCTTGCTAAAGCATATAAACTAAACTAGTACAGAAAATTAATTCGGCTTTTATAGTTTAGCCACTAACTTTGTTATTGCAGAATACTGGAAAAAAAAACCTACTTCATTTATTAAAACTTATTCTTTAAAAGTACAGATAATCATGATAGTTGAAAAATGAATAATTCAAGAATAATGAAGAACATTGTAAAAATTACAGTTTAATCAATACTTATTACCCAATCATTTGTTTGATAAATTCGAATTTATTATTATAGATTCTAGTTCTTTTTCAAGTCATCAGTTGAGTTGCAGAAAAGAATATCAAATTTGAATTGCCTGGGTTGCATGCAACAGTAAGTCAAATGTTGCATGCAACAGTAAGTCAAAGACTGTGAGGGGGAAAGGGAGGATAACTATATTTTTACTTTCCTTGAAGTTTTTGGCTTTTCATCCCTGTGCTCCAAGTCTGTTAACTCTTAGATAGCAAAGTCATTTCATTACACAATGTTATTCAAGACGTGACATGTGCAGAACAAAATTATTGAGTACATCATGAAACCAGCATGCCTATGCTTCGAAGCTTGACAATTATGCTCTGAGTCTGATTTTGATCATAAGGCATTTCTAACTTAGATGACAATTCCTAAGACCAGTTTTCTCTTTGATACTGTGCCTGTGGAATGATCCAAACAATTATCTTCAGAAGGATAGTTCTGTATCCTATTTTACATGACAAGTTATGTGGTCCTTACTTCAAAACTCACATTAAAAGTTAGTATATGTTGCAGGAAGGGAAGGGAAAGTACAGTATAAATGAATCACAATATTTTTTTAAAAAAATACTATACTGCTCCTTGAACAGTGGTATTTAAGAGGCTTTCCTGCGATCAAGTTCAAGGATTCCTTAAAATTACTAGAACTTAAAACTCTCACCTAAAGTCTTTACATATTTGAAGAAAGACAAGAGAAAGAAAAGCATTAAATGAGTAAATCAGATGGCACTATAGACTCATAAAAAACAAGCGTACACAAGACAAATTGGCTAAACAAAAGATTGTGAATGATGTTGTTTAGACTTTATATCTAGCTGAAAATATTCATTATCCATGGTTCAATGATACTAATGGAAAATGGATAGGGAAGCCAGTCCTGAAGAGATAAGAAGGGCAAAACAATAATCTATAGTCATTCAGTCTTGGGTGCCATAAAGAATAGCATGAAAGAATCCTCAATTAAATATCCTCAGATGAGGGATCTAAGAACAAATTACAATGCACACTTTCCAATGAAGACTTATCTTCATTAGAGCTGTGGTGGCACAGTGGTTAGAATGCAGTACTGTAGGCTAGTTTTGCCCGCAGCCAGGAGTTCAATCCGGACCAGTTGACTCAGCCATCCATTGTTTTGAGGTTGGTAAAATGAGGACCCAAATTGTTGGGGGCAATATGATGATTCTGTAAACTGCTTAGAGTGGGGTATAAAGCACCATGAAGCTTTGTATATAAGTCTAACTGCTATTTCTACCTTCATAGTGCCTTTCCCCTATGAGGGAGGTGTCTATCTGAGTTGCTTACAAACATCAACTGTTTGTTGTGGAAATGAAATATGTATCATTTCTCAACACCCTAGCAATGAATTGTACATATATCCATCAAGATCATCTTCTTTACTTTCTACACAATGTAACAACACTAAGAGGATTGAGGCTGGTTTTGAAAATGTTCAATTTAAAAATGCAGTAAATAGATATTAAGAAAACATAGGGTTTTATAACGTCACTTTTACAATTACTCTTCTGTCGCAAGACATTAAATTATTTTAACAATATCAATGCAAAGGAAGAATGGATGATTTCCTTTCTAACTCTGCACATTCTTAATTAAATTTGCCAAATCACTTTGAATGCAGATGAAACTAAAACAATTTTTTTTCAATTAATTGTATGACTCCTGTTTTTACCTATGGAGACATTAAAAGACTGCGGTTGTAAAATGTCACTGCTGCTCTGACACCATTTTGCACTGTGAAGCATTAGAAAATTACCAACCTTGTAACCATTGTCTAGTTTTATAAGCAATTCAACCATGTCAAAAAGCGGTGTAAAAGCAAGCCTCTGTAAGCAGATTTCAGTAAATTTGTTTATCTATAATGAAGTGATGAATTTAACTTGTTTATTTATAATACAGCTTTCTACGGTTGTTTCTTATGATTAAAGTGAATACTTGTCAAAATTAAGTTACTTTACCTGCCATTAACTTATAGTGCTGGTTTTACTTCTATTGGTATCTGTGCATTCTCTTCTTAAATCCAGCACTGACTCCTATTTTTATTATCTACTTAAACTGTACTATACTTACAAGATTTATAGTTCACTGTACTTGCCCATTAAGTGTTCTGATTCAATTTCACAAAATACTTCATGATTGTCAGGCTCATTATTACTACCTTTCCTGATTGTCTAGAAATATTAGGGCTACATCTCCAGATGGTTGAGAAATCAGATAATTGCAATCCTAACATACCTAGAGGTTAATACTGTTGTAGAAAACTAGTTTGATTGCATGTCTAAAGTCTGATCTTGTAGAACATGGGTCCCAATAGGCTTACTGTAGATATATTGCATAGATCTCTGCCCTATGGTAGTATTTGAAGAGATAGTAACATATGATGCCCATACAAGTGATAAGAGGGAAAGGAAGATAGTTTCTGTTATTCAATCAACTACTGTATTTATCCAAACCTTGGATGACAAAGAGCTCCTATAATTAACAGCCAAGCTGCAATGCTTGAAGGAAAAGCCAGATCTTTATGGCCTTCTGAAATATCACGAGATTCAGGGCCATCTCTAGGAAGAGGCTGTTTCATGGGACAGGCACTATGATAGAGAAGCAACTCTTCAAGTGACTCTGAATGCTCACTCTGTAGAGCTAATGGATTGGTCAGAAAATATATGGGAAAAGAAGTCCTGGCCCCATGTATAGTTTTAAAGGTGACAACCAGCACCTAGAAATGCCTACTAGGAGCCAGGAGCTAGGATGATAGGCAAAATTAGTTTGGCTCTTATTTATTACTCACTCATGTTTCTTGTCAATGTTGTTTTCTGCATATCTCTGATAGATAGATAGATAGATAGATAGATAGATAGATA